TTATAATAGTATATATATATATATATATATATATATATATATATATGATAAATATATATATATGTATATTCAACATTATGTATAGACATATACAGACGAAGTTGGTGTACATATGGTGTCATATAATAACCATATATATAACATCGATATAACATTAGGCGTGGTTTAGTTTCGTGTACGTGTATTCGTTTAAATATATGTGTCAAGTATATGTATGTCTGCCTAAGAGCATTTATACCAAAAGATGTAGACGTGTGTACATTGACTCAATAACTAATCTTTCTTTATATATCTAAATCCATATGGACTTTATTCTTATATTTGTAAGAATTACGTTCGTTACTTATGTAGAAGACAGCGAAGAGAGGGAGATGAAATGCTTCGTAAGACTAACGTGTAGTGCTTAATCCTTGTATAGATAGTATCTGTAATACGTGTTTATGCCGTGTAACGTGTCTGGAATGTGTTAAGACACAGATACGAGGTTTTTAGAGTCGTGCGAAGAAGCGACGTGTGAGCGAGCACCGAGGTTACAAAGATACATCCTCCGATCGATAGTTAAGCTCCATTTATCGTCCTTGTCGCGTGGGCGGGTCCTAGGTAGGACCGTTGATAATTTCGTTTACACGTCCGGCTGGCGAACACACATGCGTATATTTCATCATGTTTGCGCAAACATGCGTCTACATGTATTCAGGGTATCGCGCGCTATTAAATGAAGTAAGTATGACGGACCGGTTGTGCACCCGTCGGGCGTGCCGGCAACGATCCGACCACATTGTAAGACGCTGTACAAAAATATCCGCTTATAATAATTAGTAATAATAAACGGCGCGCCCGACGAGTCTAGCGCCGGTTCTCAGCGATATGTCTCGACATGGTTCTGCGGGCTTGACGTCCGCCGATTTGTAATCCTTCCGGCTGCTGCGGCCGCTGATAAGTACTCTCGTTCGCGATAATGCAGTTCGGTATTCGTAAAATGTGAGAACTTTGGAAATAATTCCGTCTCTCGATTTCCTTCAATTATCAGTCGAGTAGAAATACAGAGTAGTATGTAGTATAATTCTATATGCGTATTGTATAATATCTTCTTTATGTATAATGATCTGAGAATCTTAATAGCGTATGCCACTTTGATATTCAACAGCGAAAAGATTAAAATCGTGCGAACTCCCGCTTTCATCCCTAAAACTTGTCTAAAGATATGTCTAACGTCCGAGCCGGAAGTTCTTTGAGGAAATAAACTTTCACATGCACGAGCAAATCATCGATTGAAATCTAAGAAAGTATTTTAAAATGCCTTTGTTCTACTTTAATTCAATAACAAATGAATAAAATTTAGAAATACGGGAAATGAGTGTAAAAGTAAAAGTAAAAAATGTCGAGTAATTGGATATAATGCTATGGAACAACTCAAACATTCATAAAACATGATTTAAAAAAGTTTTTTCCCTTACGTTTCTAGAATGCGTTTTTTCCAATCAATTTTTATAATAACAAATATATTCTGAACTTCTGACTCAAATAATTATATTATTTCAGTTTACTTACTAGTTTACTTTCGTATCTATCAACTCTCTTTGTAACTCATTGCCGTTCACACACTGTCATTTTTCTTTTCTTAATAATCATAATTGTATATAGTTACATATATAGTTTAAAATAATCGCAAGTATGCTTATAAATTATTCATATCTAAATATAAAAAAATAAGAAAATTGGGGAATTAGATATGCCTCGTACGAATTCTAAGCTAAATGTAGGGCCTGCAGAGAATCGCATTCGGCGTATCATTAATTTTCTTTAAATTTATATAACAACATTAAATTTAATATCATATAATATAGGATATTTCACATTTAGATGATCTTGTATATAATATTTTTATAATTAACAATAAAACAAAGCAAAATACAGGTAAATTAAATCTGAATATTCCGGATTAAAAGAAGAATCAAGTTTAACGTCAGTGTACGCCCGGCAGTTTTATATTATCAATACAACTTCTTAGAAAAAACATCTAGTGCATATATGTAAGAGATACAGGTATATATAATATATATCTTTTATAATCGTAAAATAATGCATAATAATAATATATATATATATATTTATATATTATATGTAACGTACATATATATATATGTATTTATATATATATGTATATGTTAACAAATAAATTTTCTTAAATCTCGTACGTTTACGATATGTATACGATCTTTAGTCGTTATAGCTTCGTCAAGCCTTAAATCGACTTAATTAATCAGTTTATCTTACAAGTAGATTTGGGCGTATAAATGATATGTGTATGTGATATCGTCGCGCGCCTTTGTCTATGCATTCGAAAGAGAAGATCTTAACTAACGAATTAAATTTCGCCCTGTATCAATCAGTGGATCTTTTTAAGAGCATAAATGCAGTAATTTCGTTACATTAAATCATTATGAATAAAATTTGCAAGACATATAAATAAAATAAATATGAATATATATATATTATTAGATTTTAAGTCGGTACTTATTTTTTAAATATCCTTCAGTTAAATTAATTAATTAAATTAAATAAAATCTTGAAATCACAAAATAATCCTATTTCTATTCGTGTTTTAAAATATTAAAGTAAAGTATTTAAAGATTTTAATTTTATTTCATAATTAAAAAATTTATTTTGCTCATATAAATTTTCCTTTTTGCTTCATTAAAAAATAATATACTTATTAAAATTTTTAATTTTATATTATTTTATACATGAAAAATATTAAGGTCATGGGAATCTATATGTGACATTAAATTATTTCAATTATGCAAGGGCTGCGTATTATTTTACATATTAAAATGAAATATGGAGAATTAAAAAATTAAAATACAAAGAAATATTAGCTTTAAAATTCACTTTCGAAAAACTCGACTTGGCGCAACCATATAACGCATACCGGTGACCTTAATATTCCGCCATATATTATGCCATTCCAACGTATGCGCCTTACAATAATGCCTTAGGCTTAATTCTACCTTATCTTCATATGTATCGAATAGCAAAACACATGTTACTTTCTTGCATTAGCACTGTGATCAGCACTACGCCCTGTGAACTACGTCTCTTCTACGATCCATTTTTCATACGATACTTCGCTGAAAAAACGCGTTCGTTGCTGGCAATGCATCGTTAAATACATTCACGAACATTTTTCGAAGCGAAGCACGCATATTCTCGTATATCACGATCTTCCGGAAGCGCAAATCATTGTTAACAAAAGCGAAATGTTTGAAGCACAACTGACGGATGTTACGCGTCTAGAATTATTTGTGTCTCGTGTCTCGTGATCATCGCGAACACGTGCATTGCATACGTTTCCTTCTGCAAGATGATGCAATTCTAGCGCACACGTAAGCCGTCGTGGCGGCGAAGTAACCGAGTCGTAAAGCGGACGCAACGAGGCGTTTGAATAACCGCGTTTGTGCTCTACCGACTCTGACAAGTGTCAGTTTCCTGTTGGGAATATCGTTGGGAGTATTACGTGTCATCAGCACAGTCATTATCTCATTTCGTGCGGTCGAGTCTTTGCGAATCGAGTTAAGTATTGGGGCGATCTGAAGATGTTAGCGCGACTATCGCGCAGGGACATTCTAGCAGAAAAGTTGATAAAAGACGAGTATCATAAGCGTTATTTTCTTTTAATTCTCTTACGAATGCATTTAATTGACCCATTTTATTATCTAATAAATATTGTCTCAAGCGACAAGAACTACTTACATTATAACGGATTTAAGCGATGAATTAAGAAGAAGATCGGTTTGACCTACTTTCTGACGATTTATTTTTGATGGACATAAATTATTTTATATTCGCTATACTCGATTAAATAATAAGAAAAGAATAATATCCAATGGCGTCGAAGTCTCGGAAGATCGTGACGTACGGAAAACGCGTACGTAGGATGTCAGCTATTCGCAGCACAGTTCCGTGTTCAACAGGAACGCATTGATATGTATATAACGAGTGACCCGGAATCTCGCTTCCGGTCACTCGGATCCGCTAGTGAATATACTACGCCTCGCACCGCGAGCTTAACAGATAACCACGAAATAATTGGCAACGATGCTGATATGTAACGTTCCGGTGAAGAAATCTCGTGCGCTTCTCGCGAGCGAGAATTCTACGGTCCACCAATCGATCGTACGATCGATGTTTCTAATAACCTCTCAGATCCTATACCATCGAACTATATAAACGAGAGAGAGAGAGAGCCTCGCTGCCCGATAAGAATTAAATTAATACGTACTTTATCACGTAGAAGTCTTTATTCGGTACAAGTCTTTTCGAATTATTATAAGCAGCGTGAGATTGCAAATTCATTGTTTACTCTGTAGTTACCATGGGCGTTTGCAATTTGATCGTAAAGCATCTGAGGGTTTTATAAATAACAATGCTATTATCAGAAATAAATTCATCATCTCGCGGCCAGTATGCCTCCGGTATACGTATACTCGTTACATTAATGTCTAGCGTTCCTGCAACATCTGTAATTATCATTTTCACATGCAGGAATTAAAGGGATTGCTCATGGTACTTACTGCGATCTGACTTACCGCAATGACTAATTTTTTTAATATGGCTGTTGTACTTTCGCGAATTGTATTCCGTGGGCTTGATTAAAAGCAGCAAATAAATCAGGCATGTGACATAGCCTCAAGTTAAACATCACGCATCATTACGAGAATAAATTAATTCATATCATGTAACTTCATATCGAGTTAAACTTAAAAACTTCAAATATGTTTCAATTAAAAAATTCGATTAAATCTAAATATTTCAGTAAACTGTCTTGTAGATAACAAATAGATTGTCATGCGGGTATTGTAAACTAATCAAACTAAGTGTTCGCGGGGCATTCCAGTAATTAAAAAAAATATCGCGGAAATGTCCCGGCGAATATCCGGAAAAAATTTAAAATATTCAGTTCTCGAAAGATTGTCGCGGTTATCAAACGCTACGTGATTGTTCACGCGCGATCGCATCGCATGGACGCGTGTCTGCACAGAAAAGCAATCATCGCTACACACATAAATATATCTCTTCGCCCTCGAAACAGATATCTGCCCTCGCGTACCTTCGGGGAAATAAAAAAAGCAACTTCTCAAGGGGCGAAGGGATCGATCATTTCTTCCTATTCGTTCCGAATTGTAACAATCTCTTGGGATAACAATGCCATGGATTTGTTAGTCGGCGTCCGATCGAATATGTTGATTCGTCCGATGATGATGAACGAACATCGCGATAAACACGCCGACTTTTCGTGTCGCGGCTCCCTTACGCCATTTCTATGACAGGCCACGTCTAATCACGAATGTGTTAAATTATGACGATGTTACATGACAGAGTTGCGTTTCAATTCCTGCTGGCTATCGTGGAATCGTGACACGTCTCCGCTATCGCGTCACGATTACCCCGAAGAGCAAGGAATTCTTTGTTTGTAGAATTAAATAACAAAATTGAAAAATTATGATCTGTGTGTATGGCAACAACTATAAATTATACAATAATCGCTTAACAGAGACAAATGTGATTGTTAATCTCGACTAACATCAAAACGAAAAGTCGATAGTTCCTCATCGCGATGCCGCACACCCTTGCGAGATTACACTATCGCAGCAGTAAGAACGATCAGCGGTAGTGTCGCGTCGACATACACTCTACATCCGGTAGCCGAAGACGAGAATTTCCCAGCGTTCTTGCCCGCGCAGCCCATCCTTTCGAGCGGAATATTCTGCACGGAATATTCGCGATGTTCCATAGGCATCGTGCAGACTGTCCGCTTCTTTGACATCATTTCGTCGTCCTTGTCGCGCAGATTTGCAAGCCACGCGGGGTACCATCGTAGATCGCAGTCGCAAATCAAAGGGTTATCTACGCGAAAGGTAAAAGAACAAAAAGGAGATAAGATAAATAAAATCGCACGAAATGAACTGAGTCTATTAAAATAAAATCTGATGAGCTTTTGCTAAAGGTACGGTTTTTTAAAAAGAAATTAACGAGCGCGAGTATACGCGATATTAATTCGATGATTATTTCCAGTGCTCAATAAAATTCATATATATATATATATATATATATATATATATAATAACTTTAATTAATTAGTAATAATTAAGGTAAAATAATTAAATTTAAATTTTAAAAATTTAACTTTAATTTAAAAATTTAAAATTTTTAAATTTAAAATTTTTAACTTATAGGTTAAGTTAACTTTTTACGTTAACTAAAATAAAATTAAATTTTACTTTATTTGTATAATAACTAAATAACATAGTTAAATAGATCTATACAAGATATTATATACACATATATATATATATATATATATATATATTGGAAAAAGTGATAACAATATCTTCGTTACGTGAAGAGCATCAATAATAATCTTCAAGAGCTACGGCACGCTCAAATGAACATTTTTGTATGAATAGTTATAATTACATCAAGTTTCTAGTAGTGGTGAATAAATACTCGATCGATCAGGAAAAATTTACGCAAGCATGAATCAAATGCTTCGTTCGAAAGCTTTAATTGGATCCTTCAATATTAACGAAATAATAGATGATCAGGAAGTTCTACGTGGATAATCTTTATCGATTTTTTTTAATAATAAATATTAATTAATAATAAATATTAGTACAACAAATAAAAAAATATTTGTACACTCATTTTCTTAAAACAACTTTATATATAGAAAAAATATATAGAATCGTTACAATATAGTGTCTATTCATCATGATATAAAAACAAAGTATGATAGAAATATTTTGCAATATTTTTTTGCTTTAAATGAAATTATCTATATAAGATAAAACGTGGAGATATTTTTTTTAGAATTTATCTATATTAATATTTCATCAAAATTTGTTTATCGTGACGTATTTGAATTAATTATTTATCTTATCGATTGTAAAGTTGCTGTTGTAGCGCGCCTGAATCGTCGATGGTATTTGTTCACACAATGCTTTGTCGAAATATTATCTTGATAGTCGAGCTCGCGTTTACAGGATGCAACGAGATGAAAGGTAGTTTGTAAAGTGTCGTTCGCTCGTTTATATCCACGTTCCCAAAGGGAACCGATTACATCGCCGACAAGCAACCGTGGCATGCGGTAGATTTAAATGCTAAGCAGTTGTGTCATTCGCAACGATAAATAAAGTAGAACGTGATCTGCAAAGACTGTAGGAATTTTATGGTAAACTGAATGCGCATACTGCACATAAATTTTGCAGCTGCATTAGAAGTGGGCATTGAGACAATTTATCGATGTTATATATAAGTTTAAACTATTATTTGATTAATGTAAACATAATAGAACAAGCGTTCGTTATTTATTTATGCATTATTATATATGCATATTGTGCATTATTATATATTTTTATATTAATTTATTGTTCGTTTATTAAGTCGTTAGATTTCTTAAATATTTTATATAAGGACAGGAATGAGATGAAGAATGAGATTACCAAGCATCGTATAATATTTTCAGCGCCCTGAAGTGTATATGCGATTAACGAGCTAAACAGCTACACTAAATTGTGCTACACTAACTAACTACACTTACCCTCAAGACCGATGAACGCATTGGCATCCACATGGGTAATCTGATTTCCGTCGAGTTCCAAAGAGTTTAATTGCGTCAAGTGGGAGAATACATGCGCCGGGACCTCACGAAGGTGATTGTGCGCCAATCCTAATGAATCGAGCGCTTTCAATCCTGAAACGTAAAACGGTAAAACGTTTTATCGATGAGCCCATTTTATTTAATTGTATGAAATACTCGTTACACTCGTTCATTTTATAAAAGCGTTTATTTATATGCAGATCGAATACATATAATAGATTAAAAAAGAAGTTGGTTTAATTAAAATTACAATTGCTCTGCAGAATGAAATCAGCAAAAACTGAAATGTTAAAAAAGATACATTTTGTAAAATAGAACGAATGATTAATTTTACCTTCGAAATCTCCTTCTTTTATGGTAGCTATGCGATTTTCTTGCATTTCTAATTTTTTCAACAATTCTAATGAAGATAAAGCTTGAGTTGGAATCCTTGTGAGCTCGTTTCCGCCCAAGTTAAGTCTTTTGAGTCTCCGGCTAAAAACGCGAGATTCAAAACCATCCTTAGAATTAAATTAAATTATTATAATTCTGTTTTTAATTAAACTTTACTTTATAATATAAAATTTTGATGAAATTGTAAATTAAAAAAAAGATTGTTCCAAATTATCTACTATTCAAATAAATAGATCTTTATATTTTTTGTAAATCTTCAATTACTTTACTTATGCAATTAAAGTGACTTACTTATCGAGTCCTTTGAACGCATCTGCTTCTATGGTAGAAATCTTGTTTTCATAAAGTGTAAGAATTTCGAGTGTGTCGAGACCTTCAAAAGCCCTACCGTGGATGGCTGTGATTTTGTTACGATTTAAATTCAAAATCAAGAGATGATGAAGGTCTTTCAAAGCATGGGATGGAACGCTATTCAGTGAATTTTGGGAAAGATCCAGCTGTGTCAATCCCGTTCCTGTAAGGAGATGTTATTTGATTCTATATTTGTATTTGCGATATCACTCATATAAATCTCGTTACTTGGCCAACATTGTTTTCGAGAATTTCTCAAATTTAATATAACAATTTCGCGTATTTATTCTATTCTATTCTATAGAAATTGTTTTAAGAGCTTAAAAAAACTTTATTGTTATGTCATATTTTAAAAAAATTTTATTGTTACGTCATATTTTAATAGAAAACAAATTTTAAATTGCGATATTATAATTGATTTAAAAACAATTATTAATTAAAAATTATTATATAATAATTTTATATTTATGATGTTCAATTAAAAATTCTGATTTATTATATACTAAATATACTTTATTGTATACTATGAAATAGGACGCGAGCGCATGATTTACAGTGCAAAACTCCGTTGGAAAATTGGACATTTTCTATGTTTAATGTGTTTTCGACGTTACGAATTAATGCAACCGAGCAATGTCGCGCCGAGACGCCTCGCAATGCCGCATTCTCATTAAGATCTGGGTACACGGCGGCCACGCGATGCGGTTATCTCTGTATATCTCGAATATGGCTAGTGTAAAAAGGATATATTTTCCAGTCTCTTACAGTAATTTATTCTGAATCTGTGTGACCGCAAAGGCGGCATAACGGTCGAGTGAATTGGGTCTGGGATTTGGTAAGAGATTTAAAGGTGGGTTAAATTTGCAGCCGACTTTAACGTGGGTCTAGCGTGACAAGTACGTTGAGTACGTCAACGTTGGCTTTAATAGAAAAGAAAAAAAACTGATCTTAAATCTTTCATGCGTTTTTTGACGTTTGAGAGAGTCCAGATAGCATTCCGCGTTATAAAAAAATTATGACATGAAACGTATGGAATACAGTACAAAGCTTTCTCCAGTATTTTTTTTTTCTACTTACTGGTTATGATGTACTTTGAGAATTACGAAAACGGTGAATACTATATTTATAAATAACTTTAATTGAGAATAATTAATTCTTTTTCATTATTAAAACTATTATTTCTAAAGAATTCTAAAAATTTAAATGTTTTATAATTCTCGCATGGTATATAAATGCTGAATTCATTTGCACTTACTTTTTATATCATAATCGTAAAAATATGCTTTACGTCAAATGCGATAATTATATGATGCGATAATACTAAAATTTAATCGAAAATTCTATTCTGGAATGCAAAGAAACGAAATTCAAATCGAAATAAATCTAGAATCCATCGAGCCGACAATTAATAAATGATTTTAGTTTTTTGCAATCCTACTGAAGCAAAGCCAACAATTTTGCAATAATTTATCATAGTTTTTCGAACACACGAAACATTATGATAATGAGCACACTGTACTTTTGAAATTTGCACGAAAATCCCTAGTAATATAAATAACGTAAATAAATTATTGTATTAAATTACGCTGATAAAATTAAACGAGGATTAAAAGCAATACACAATATCTGCTTAAATAAGTGAATTTATTCGGAGTTTGCAAATAAAATTAATTTTATAGATCGTCATGTTTGTTACCCTATCCTATATTTTGCATTTTAATATAAATTGTATAATTTCTATTTACTTTGAAAAAGAAATTAAAGTTCTCTTTTGTGCATTCTATTGATATTTACGCTTAATTTCGTTACGAAAATTAAAAATCTACAAACAAAAATTTATCTCTACTCACCAAGAGAACTAAGGGAAGATTCTTCAAGCACTGCGAGACTACTATTGTGAATGGTGAGGTGGCGTATGTCGAGCCCGAGAAATACGTATCCTTGCAACTTGGGCAGATTGTTGTGCCTGAGCCTAAGATAGAATATCATAAGGTTTGGCCTTCCTTTAAGCACGGCCATGGCCTTGGTGATGTGTGTCAGATCGGTACTCTCACACACAATGTCCAGGCCGGATTTCTTCACGCTGCAGTAACAGGGCGCGATCTCGCTGTGAGACGGACAGACCAGCGCCGTTTGCGCTAAGCTCGTCGCTATAACAAGACAAAGCAACCACGCCAGCCGCCACACATTCGACAAACCTTGCTCCCTCATTTTTCGACTCCACACTTCTCCCCGGCGACTTTGTCACAATGGCCGACCCTCCCGTACCTTACTTTTGCCCTCCGTGCCTAACTCCCTGACGTTCACTCTCGCTTTCTGTCGGCCACACGCCTCTTTCCAATCTTCCCCTCCGTCTCCGTTTCTGTACCTGCAGCCTGCTACTTAGCCTCTGCTCTTCTCATATCCATTGTTCGCTCTGCCACGGTGTACCAGTACACCGAGTCTGCAAGCAAATGGAAGTTCGGTAAGATAAGTTGAAGCTCAGGAACAGCAATAGTTAAGTAGTGGTAGCAGTTAAAAGTACAGGAAATTTGATATAAATACATTGTAATCTCTCAAATAATTTCCTGCATAATGAGAGATAACAGAAAATATAGTTCCCGCAAATACAAGTTGATTTTAATATTTATTTTTGTAATACTAAGAGAGAGTATTTTTAACTTCCTTATTAATTTAATAAATCTCATTTCTTTATTATGAAAATAACACAAGATATTTATTGATTCAACAATATTTTTATATTATATATGATGTGTCTTTCAAATCGTTTGAAGTATTTGTTGGTATATGTAATCACAGAAAACACCGCGGTACAATACTATTGCTAGAAAATAAAATAGGACAATATTTAATTTCTTTTAATTTATATTTTTAATAAGTCCATAGTTTTGTATAGAAATAAAAAATGAAAATTCGTCGGAATTTTTGCTATCGTGGAATATATTTTAGCATAAAACAATAATAATATATACGAGCAATATTCTAATTACACCGGTACTGCAAACTTATAAATATATGAAAATATTTATTTATGTACACAATAAACAAATTATTGATAGTTACGATAGTTGCTCGAAACTTCTACGCATAATCCGCATAACGATAATAATTATGCTAACATTAAATTTTAGTATTTATTAGTGTAGCTATATGCAATGTTACAACTTTGTTAACATTTTAACATTCCATAATTCAGTAATAATACCTATCGATAATAATAATATTTCTAAAAAAAAATTTAACGTAACGAAAAAAGCATTTTTGTGTTTTTCTTATATATGTACGTGTGTTAATTATTAATT